TAGAAAATACCAATTCAAAACATAGCACTCAACAAATCTGATGATTGTTTGTTGATTGCAAACTGGCTAAAATGGACAATACATCATCTGCTTTTTTTTTTTGCCTTTGGGAAAGATTTAATTCATATGGGTGATATTTGCTAATCTTCCCCAATGAATCACCCAACTTTAATATCTTTCAAGTAAAAAGAAAGAAGAAATGGGCATCCCAAAACTGTTGATATACTTTCCAGATAATTTCCTGATTTTTTCCTAAGACACAACGCAGGGGTGTGCAAAATCATATCAAAAATTGGAGGATTCAGGACTGTTAGGGCTATAAATAAACATGCTTCATGTAAAACTCTTGCCCCCATAAAAGTAAACCCACACAAGTCATAAACTCACACAACCAGTAGGTTTTTTTTTGTTTGTAGTCATTTGTTTCCATTTTTAGAGGCCTACTATGTACCTGTCCACAATTGTGCAAAATAACCTTAGACTTTATAAAAAGTTAATTGCTTTGAAGCAATAGGCTGGCACCCGTTACATTTTCACAACCTGTAGTAGGCCTATTACTTAAAAAAAAAAAAGAAGGAAGATTAGGCCAAAAGAACAAAATACTCGGTCTCTGGTCAGCGCGCGTCGATTTTAATCATGCGCGTCAACCTTCTTTTTTTTTCAAATTAACACGGAAGCTACAACAGCAACTACAAATTTTTGTACCAAGGAGCACCAAGGAATGGGGAAATTGCACCAAGGCAAATGATAAAGGGCACCAAGGCAAATTATGGAGGACACCAGTGTATAATGAGGACACAAAAAAGCAAAATAGTACCCACCTTGTCTGTACAATACAAGCTTGAAAAAAAAAAGCCACCCAAAAAAACGCGTCACCGCATCAATTCCGGAACTTCGGTCTGACCAGAGACCGAATATTTTATTTTTTTGGCCTTACATGTATCATTTCATTTTGAATGTGGGTATTTATTTGGAGTTGAGTGCGGTTGCCTCCTGGTCTGGAGCATTGAATTTGTGGTCTGCGGGTAATTTTGCAGGTTGTGGGTTCGAGTCCAGCCTGGGGTTATGGTGCGTGTGCCCTTGGGCAAGGCACTTTGTCACTCATTGCTTCTCCCCACCCAGGAGTCAATGGGTACCTGTGAGGGCAGAGATGGTTATTGTGATTGATTTTAGCTGCTTTTGCAGCTGAAATGGCAGCATCGATCTGTATACTCCCCAGAGCACTGCGATTGTCTTTGGAGTGTTTCATTGACACAAAGTCCCAATAAGCAGGGTAATAATGTAGCGCCTTGAGCACCAATACTGATGGATACATGCGCTTTTTACGTTTAAAGTCCATAAAAGTTTGAGGGATTTCATTTTCAATTATTGCCAAATCTTTGTCAGAGGCACAGAGACAATTGATTCTGCTGGGATATAGGGGGGGGGGGGGCCTATTGGCCTAAATGTGCACATACAACTGAAAATAGCTTTTTCATTGCAAATGCTGTGGAATTTGCAACAGGGTTTTCATTTCTCATTAATTTTGATTTTGAAAGTTTTAAATTTACAATCAAATATAATGCATAAAACTTCTTTAAAGGACTGTGACTTTTCAATCTGGGGGAATTTCGCAACAAGGTAATATTCTTAGACATACAAAAATGTCACTCTTCGACATGTACTTATATTTCTTATTGAAAATTGTCAATTAAAGATACAAGTTTTTTTCTATTTTGCAAAAAGGAAAAGTGGGCATAAATTACGTAATTTCTATCTTCACAAAAATTTGAATAGGAGATATAACGGCTAATGATCAGCATTATGCAAGAACCGCTATGCAATGACAGGCAATAAAAGTTTACGATCAACAACAAATTTTTTTCAGATTTGGACAGTGGACCATAGTTCTTGCTGGTCAGCCTTCAATTACAACCGATTACACGGTGCCTATCTACTACGTTATTTCTGCCTTTTGCAAGTTCTGTGCGCTCTAAAGATCTAAAATGACGTCAGTAGTAGTATTATTTTCATTTAGGGAATTTGAAACCAAGAACGTGAACAATTAAACAACCATATACGAGTCTGGATTATGAAACAAATAAATTTGACCATATGGTGCCAATGCGTACACAAACATGTACAGGACAGAGTTCAATATCTTTTAGTTTCAGTATTCTACGACTACTATGTATAAAGCATTTGACAGGCTGCACGCTCGTCATTTTTTATCAATATTCTGTGACCTTGGAGTACAAATAGTCTACCTGCATCATCCATTCATTGTGGGTCGGCATCAGGAATTTCATTGTGGGTAATAATGCATTTCCAATACAAAGCCCTACATGTACATGTACTCTACCCGTAAACATGCTCACATAGAAAAGCGTACGTAAATTATGGCATACATGTAGTTAAGTGCTTAGTGTAACATTCAAATAATTATTCATGATCCAGCAACAAACCTCATGTGTACATTTTGAATTCACATAGGACCCAAAATATCTTATCTTACATTGCTGCAAAATATTTGTAGTAACTTTTCAAAATTTATAAACACTCCTATCAACTTCAATAGAATACGATGTGTTATTCAAAATATGTCAATCCATTAGAATCCATCGGATGCGAACAAAAAAACAAAACATGTTGACCCATTGTCAGCTTTACCAGAAAAGTAAGAAAACAGAATAGAATTTAATTTTAAAGAAATTCAACTTGTGAAACAGACTACAGCTTTTGAAGGGGAAGAAAGCCAGGTAGCTGCATAAAAAGTATTAAAATTAATACAAAACATTGGAAGTTATCTCTGAAAACATTTGTTTTCAATTTAAAGCATTTATGTCCAGTGTTGTTTGTTTATGTAGTACTCAAAATTACTTGATAAACAACTTTCTTCAACCCAAATTCAGTAAACAACCACTACATGACAAAAACGATGAAGTGGAAACAGATTTTCTTCCAAAGTTTAATGAACAAATTTCTTGCAAATGGAGAAAAAACCCTTGAAAAAGGAAAACAGACATTTTAAAATGGAAAACCAGTGGCCTAGCTGAACAAACGCCAACAGGACACAGTGTATTTTCACACCACGTCAAACCAAATTTTCTCACTCTGAAATTAAAAGTAATTACTCCGTACACTCATACACACCTGTTACTCAATCATTTCTCACACAACTTAAACAGGATTACAAGTGTATGTCCTGCCAAGGCTGCGTAAAAAAAACGTGTCCTTACACACATCCAGGCCATGAATAAATTATCCACTTGAGCTAGGGTCGTGTAATTAGCACATTAATAACCCAGTGGTCAGACATGATTGATGGGATTTACTTTCTATCTAATTCTACAGATTATTTGCTGATTTGGTTTTTCAAAGACAATGCAAAAATGGTATTTAAAGGATTAAAACAGCAATTCAATGGTTGATTTAGGAATTTTAAGGGAGGTCTTAAAGTTGCATTCTCCATGATATTTTTGGAGTTTCATACCAAAAAATAGATTCCATTTCCAAATTGCTATTATAGATACAATTTGTTATTCACTTTTAAACGAGACATTGATCATAAAAAATTGCCCATGTTTAGTTGTACTGAATTATTACTTAACAACTTTAAAATTATAATTTCATTCTCACAGGGTAGGCTGGTTCCCACCCCACAATCAGTATCGATATTGTGCCGACAGGGAGCCAGTCTGCTCGCAAAGCGGATCTGTTTGTGCCCAAAGCAAAAAGCCGTTATTTTTCCAGAGGGTTCCAGGGTTACAAGTATCATTTTTGGATGCAACTGCAGCTGTTAGGCCTTTGAGGCACCTCAGGTCTGCCTATCCCCCCCCCCCTCCCCCCCCCCCCCCCCACCAGAAAATGGCACTCCAAATCGACCACTGCCATCTGCTGTCATTATCTGAAACTATTGTTTCATTTTGTTTTAATTACTGTTACTGGCACCTCACGTGTGAAACCAAGAATATTCGCACCGACGACAAATATTGACTCTCAGTACAAATTTTCTGCATGGCGAGAGCCGTGTTCCAGAAAACCCAAATTTTTGACATGACCGGGAATTGTTGCCAGATGGTCATGCTTCCACGGTGAACCATAGCGGTGTGTAAATTGTGAACGACTCCAAGTATCCATTGATTTTGATTCACGTAAGTCATGAGTCATCAATTAGTGGCTTCACTTCAAATAAAAAAATGTGACATTCAATACGGGCCAAAACACGGATGCAATCATGAACATTTAACACATAGAAAACATAGATGTATATATACCGGTACTGTCGAGTTTCACCTAAATATAGATTTTAAAATGTTGTTTTTCATGCAACAAATGAGACAATGAACAAAGAAATCTCCCATTTTTACTTATGGAATAATCACTTATGGAATAATTAAGTTCCAAATTTTGAATTTGCAGCCTGATTAAATTATGTAGGCAACCCCCTAAAAGTAAAAGAAGCCTCTTTTTAGAGAGATCAGCAAATGCTCAAAATAGAAAAATTTCCGTGTTCAATAAAATATACAAGTTTAAAGCTCACGTGATTCCTATTATTAGGCCTACACGGCTTTTTCTTGATCCACATTAGAATGTTTAACTTTTTGTAATGCAACAATTTCACTGATTGCCATAAAAAAAAGTGTTTTGGTAGTACTAGTAATAAGGTATAAACAGAGCCGTTTATAGTACACATTTTTAAGAAACCCGTCACTGAAAATACAATCAGTTAATTTACAAGAATGATATGGAAGAAGGAAACAAGAAATCACAATTGCTGACTGTAATTTATTCATTTTTTATATTTTTCACCGTTTTTATCCTTTACATCATTATATTTTTAACACAATAGGCCTAGTGGGTTTTAAAATATATGGGTAAATTGTAACTTTTTCCATGACCTAGCGAGGCTGCAACATGTTACTTTAAAAATATTGCGAAGAAGTCAAAGTGAAAATAAATAACTAAATTCTTAAAATAGGAACAAGATGACATTCTACTTACTAGTCCCATCTACTTACCATCTTCTGGTTCATCGCTTTCCGTTACTTCTCCATAATCAGTATAGTTCACATTCAACAAATAATGACAGAAAACCCACAATCCCCGGTTCCGAATCAGCATCCTCGGAGGGGGCTGAGGCAACATCGTCCCGTTACTCATGAAGTAAGTCCTGACTGGCCCGCTGTATGTGGATTGGGTCCAGTACGGCGTGCCGATGGACACTGCGCCCAAGATCAGCCCGACAAAACCCGCAAAGAGGGCTAAGAGGAGGGTGGAAGTTTTGGCAAAAGGCATCGTTGTTGATGGCGATGAGTTTTACTCCGCGAGTACGAGAAAAATGTCGGTTTTACCACACGCGAGTCAGTCCCGCCGTCCCGGTCCCGTCCCGCGCAGCACGGCCCGCTGTTTTGACACTGCACGGTGCTGCGAACTGGTTCAGTTTTCGGTGTTTTTGGTGTTATTTCCCGGTGTTATTTCGTCGTTTTGGGGTGGACGACAATGTTCTGAAACACGACTATGTGGTTGTGAACAGCCGATTGTCAACGTTTGAAAGGACTAGCCCGTCAGTTGGCTGGACTCCAAACAAAGTATGCCGAGAGACTTTTCTTTGAACGAACCGACCCATGACGATTTAATTTGTTTTGTACGTAGTATGCCTACTTTTTGTGTACGTTCGTATTGTCGTATGCGAGATCATAGTGCTAGTGCGAGATGCACCTGTTAACTTGAAAGTGCGCCCTCCATACCAAATTTGACAACCCTTAAAAAAACTCGGAGAGAGGGTCATGTCGTGAGATGAGGACTGAGAAGGCCAAGGGATAAGAGCGAAGAGGGAGAAAGTTTCCACAAAGTTCGAGCAATCTGGAGTTTTTTGGTGAGGATATTTCTTTTATGGAAAAGGTTGGATTTCGGGCACCGCAGGCTCAGAATAACCCTTGGTATGCTGACCACCATCAGAGTCCAAAAGCATAACACAATAAGCTAGAGGGCGCTATTCAATTTTAATGGGCAGGCAGCTACACTAAAGTAAACACACGTGGTTTGTTCAACTTCAGGTTCTGAAGATGTCTAGAGCAAGGAACAGGAGATCTAGTGTTAAATTAGGGTGTCACTGTTATTGTGAGTGTACGGCTACATGTACATGTATGATGTATAGGAATGTCTTTTTTTCTGGAATAAAGTGAACTGAATTGTGTAAATGTTATCATCAAGATAAGATCAATGATTCCAAATACTCCTTTAATGTTGTGTCATAAACATTTTTATTTAATTTGTGTGTACACAGGAGAAGAAGCTGTGATGAAGCCTAAGAAGGAAACCAGAAAAGTAAGCTCTAAACGCACGACAAGAGCATCAAAGGCTAAAGAGGAGGAAACACCGTCACTAAAGGCCAAGACTAAAGTCAGCATCTCAAAGACGAAATCTGCAAGGACAAAATCCAGAGAAGAACTATCTTCCGACAAAGATGATATGAAACAGTCGTCGGGAGTGAAGTCTTCCAAATCTGCAGCCGGCCAGTCGGCCAAAGAGTCAGAGGAAGCAAAGAAAAGAACGAGGATTCCCAAGAAAGATAAAATAGCTAACGGAGCTGAGGAACAGTTGGAAAAATCCGGTCGCGCAAGTTGTGAAGAAAAACAGTCAACTGTCAAAAAAGCCTCGAAAAGAAAAGCAGCCGATGCTGAAGAGAACAACGTCAGAAAGAGGAAGATTTTAAAGAAGACAGCTGAACTTGATCGAGAAACCGAGGAGCAAGGAAAGGTTGATCCAGTGGAGGAAGCTGGTGATTTGGGCGGAAGTAAAAAGAAAGTCAGAAAACCAAAAAAGCCGAAAGAAACTGTGGATGTTGGAACCGAATCTTGCGTTCAGCCAAAGAGGAAAAGAAAGGAATTGGATGCGGAGGTTGCCACAACACAAGAGAAAAAGCAGAAATTGAGCACAGGACTCAAGACGAAGACCAAGAAATCCGCCAAGGAAACACAGACGAAAAAGGCTGTGGCAAAGAAGGGTGGGGCTAAAAAGGGTGCAGCCAAGAAGGGTGTGGCAGAAGAAGGCGTGGCAGTAGAGGAAGTGGTTGTTAAGGAGGAGGGGAACGATGAGACTGAAGGCGAGGTGATTTCTAGGACAAGGACCAAGAAAACAGCCAAGGAGCCATTGACAAAAAAAGCTGTAGCAAAGAAGGGCGGGGCTAAAAAGGGTGCGGCTAAGAAAGGTGTGGCAGAAGAAGGCGTGGCAGAAGAGGAAGTGGTAAAGGAGGAGGGGAACGGTGAGACAGAAAGTGAGGCGATTCCAAAGATGGCCAAAGAGGTTGCATCCAGGACAGCCAAGTTTGTTGGAGCTCACATGAGCATTTCAGGTACATCTTTCAAAAGCCTTTATAATAATGTTACACCTCAGTGATAGCAATATGGCCCCAACTATAGTTGGAGTATTTCCAACTATAGTTTGGACTATAGATCCCAACTATAGTTTGGAGGATGCTGAAGTTGCAGCACAATTCTTGAGCTTAACAGCTTTTTCTTTTTGGCTTCACAGGAGGTCTGGACAAAGCCGTCAAAGGTGCTGTAGCCACAGGCTCCAAAGCCTTTGCGTTGTTCCTGCGCTCCCAGCGTCAGTGGGCCGCCAAGCCGCTAGAGGACAAACCCGCCGAGCAATTCCGCCAGGCCTGCCGGGACCACGACTTCCCCCCTCACTTAATCCTCCCCCACGGCTCCTACTTAATGAACTGCGGCTCCCCGAACGACGAGACGCTTCGCAAGTCGCGGGAGGCCCTGGCGGACGAGTTGAATCGGTGCGAGAAGCTGGGGCTGACACGGTACAACTTCCATCCTGGTGTGTAGGAGATTGCTGTGAAAATGTGATATTTTATTTCAAATGATATGGGGCATGGTCTCGGAGAAAGACATTACTTTGGCAATGATTGTGCTTGTCAAAGTATCAAGAAGCCAAAAGTTTTGATATTTGAAAGTGTTGAATTTTGCCTTAACCCTAACCGCCCTGAATCCTTCAAAATCCTTTTTGGCAAAGTGGAGGAATTTGGAGGATTGAGGTTACATGGTAAAAGTGCGTTACTGATTTTGTAGGGTGCACTTTGTCAAGGTCTTGAGCCGGACCTTGTGTTGTTTTTGCTCAGCCATGCATCAATATAGGCCTGGATTATGCTTGAAATCCTCCGTACTGCTTCAAGATGTCACTCAACATATTGGCAGGATTCAGGCAGTGGTCACCCCTCCATGGACCTTATTCAAGAAATAATGGAGGAATTTGCAGGATTGAGGCTATATGCAATTTTCCCATGAGGCCAATTGGAGGATTTTGCAGGATTGAGGTTACATACTAGCAAAAAGGCCTAGGGAGTTAGGGTTGCTTGTATGACATAAAAGTTTTGACTTTGTTTGTTTGGGTTTTTTTTTTTTTTGACTTTAAATGCAGGGTCTTCCTGTGGCCAGATCACAGTGGAGGAATGTCTGGACAAGATTGGAGAGTCTATTAACAAAGTGCACCAACAAACAAACAAAGTCATGACTGGTAAGCCGCTGCTGTCTCAGGCTGCATCGGAATCAGCTGTCTAGAGCTAGGTCTAGGTCTGCACCCATTGAAAATATGCAGGGACGCGCTGACAATAGACGTAGCCGTAACTCTGGAAGCCGGTTTCGGACACGGCCTCACAAACGACCAAGTCACAGATGTAATTAAGTCAATCATAAGTTATCACAAGTCATCACAAGTCATCACAAGTCATCACAAGTTGAAGTAATCTGGTGTCAAGTTAACTCTTTGTATACAGCAGAACAATGAGTTGATAAATCAGTAAAAACTGCTACTCGGTGGAGACCATGAACCAATATTATAACAATTACCTCGCTTCTGGCACAGTGCATTGTTTCACAGGCATGCAATTTTTCCTTGGATCCGCTGATTTTGTGCACAATTACTTCCTCTACGGCAAGAACAGGAGACTTAGGTTAGACCACTATAACGAAAACAGTGATAATGTGTACGGAATTATGCAATACATGACAGATCATAGCGGAAAAAAAAGAGAGAAATTCAAATGCATTACTGACAATGCCTGACACTCACGCGAATACGCAGTGGCTTTGTGCGCATTCAAAATAAAATTAGTCGTGCGTAGTTTGCGCTGTACGCGCATGAAACAGTACACGCACACAGTTTGTCCTGTCCGCTGGGCTCTGGAAAGTGGTAAAAAAGCGCCCTCTCTTGTTCGCGCACGGAGCCCATTGCAGGACTTGTTTAAATAACTTTCATATCTTTCAGGCAATGTTGTTTAGAGTTACATGTATACTGTTTGGACTTCACATATTCCACACTCCTCCAAGACCTGATGGATTTTGAAAGATCTCAGAGGTTTGGAGTTTATCCTAACCCAACAATAGTGTGTTCCATATCCAACAGTACCCAATAGGAGAACATTTTCACCTGAAATTGAAATTGTTCTTGTCCTCATTTGTTACCGTAGTGATTGAAAACATGAGTTGTCAAGGGAGCACAATTGGAGGCAGGTTTGAAGAGCTGAGCGGCATCATCCAGAGAGTGACTGACAAATCACGGATCGGCGTCTGTCTCGACACGTGCCATGCTTTTGCAGCAGGTAAAAAAAAAACGAGTGCGAGTGCACAATAAGCTCTGGCAAAAAATGCGACGCTGATGGCACATATGGAACACCATACTTAAGTCAATTTTCTGGGTACAGACAGATAGACAGACAGACCATCCTACCGACCGACTGACCACGAAGTGACATGTAGAAGCTCCTGCCAGAGATTAAAAATCAGGAAAAAAAACTTTGAAAGACTTGGCACTTCTCTGTGATGTCTGCACAGTTGTGTCTTAACTTGTACCAGCTGATCTGTCCATTCCGGGAAATGCCACAGGGCTGCTTTGTGTTTTCGAAACCTGACAGGAACATTGTATTTGTGTGGTCTTGGGCAAGACACTTTACTGTAATTGCCTCTCTCCACCCAGGAGTAAATGGGTACCTGTGAGGGTAGAGACCAAACTGCGCTGATCTCGAGCAGCTGCAGATAACTGGTCTCATGGCCTGATGAACTGGAGTAATAACTGTTGAGCACTTTGAGATATTGGTGTGCACAAAGAGCTACCTAGCCACTATGTTATGTGGAAGGATGTGTTCTGTGTTCATGTTGAAATCTAGATGCCTCAAATGTTACAGACTTTCATTTCAAATTTCATTTTTCAATTTTTTTCCGTTAGGTTTTGATCTGTCAACTGAAGCTGGTTATGAGAAAATGATGTCTGACTTTGATCGAATCATCGGTCTCAAGTACCTCGTGGCTGTTCACCTGAATGACTCCAAAGGTATCGATCACCACATAAGCAAAATGCTAACTTGGAAAAAATTCATGGAGCTTTTGAGCACAGAAAATTGCTCAGTACAGAAAATAGTAATTGCTTAGTAAAAACAAGTTAACAGCCAAAATATCATGTGGTGTAAACTGCTTCCGATGGGCTCTCAGCTGATGTTTGCTTGGTGCAAATCTTTCTCATTGGCAGGTAAAGTCGGCAGTCATCTGGACAGACACGAGAACATTGGCCGTGGACAGATCGGTCTGAAGGCCTTCCAGCGACTGATGAACGATTCACGCTTTGATAACATCCCTCTCATATTGGAGACCCCAGTTGAGTAAGTAGCATCTCGTGATGGACTTGTGATGGACTTGTGACGGACTTGTGATGGACTTGTGACGGACTTGACTACAACCAGCGGTGGTGGAACAGTTATGAGAGTGGGGGGGGGGGGGGGGTGCCTAGAGTGAATGTTGCACCATGCCCCGCAATCTATGCCATGGGAACTTCAGTATATGTGGGCCTTCCTGATAATCGAAAGCAATCATTAGATCCTGTTATTTCCTGAGACACTAGACTATAATACTTATTAAAAGTTTACCCAGATATAGAACCTACAATACACTATTTTGGGACCTGCCAAAGTGGGGGGGGGGGGGGTCAATGGGCCCCCTGGCCCCCAGGTTCCGCTGCCGATGACTACATCACCGTTCCAATTCTACAACACTAGTCCAATTCTTCAACATTTTTTTTTATTGTTTTTTTTTTTTCAGGGATGGTATGGATTACTCTAAGGAGATCAAACTGCTGAACTCACTGATCGGGAAAACATGAGCAGCGTTACCTACATCCCAATACTTTTTTCCCTCTGAATTTGAGGTGTTCCTCAGAAACTAAACTACGTCATAAACAAAAGAATGGCTTAGTACGCACAGTGAGTGTTGAGAGATTTAAAAAGTACTGGGTAAAAAACTTAAAACAAGATTTTCCATCTTGGCCAAATTTCATGGTGCTGTCATCCGTCCACGCACATGGTCACCAGCAAAGAAATTCTGTGTTCACCATGCAAACACAGAGTCCATGAGTTACAGGGTGTACGCAAGTCAAAACTCCTTGGTTACCTGTGAGAAATGAGGATCTTGAAGGGCCTGTAAATAGCATACTGTGTATTGATCTTTTCACCAAGGCACATATTTCATAACAAGTCAGACATATTTTTCTTACTGTATTTCTCTGCCCAACAGTGTACATGTACATACATAATCAACTCACAAGCCAAAAGCACTTTTTTTGAACCTTTTGTATTCTTGCATTAGTACTTGTTGGCTCTGTTTTCTAGAGCAATTTCTTATATACTTTTCTATAAAAGAAAAAGTTGGGAAAGAAAAACTCATGAAAAGAGCTTTTAAAGAAGTGTGCCTCTTAGTATGGTTGAATAAAACAAACTTGAAAGGTAAGACAAAGATGCTGGTTTTTTTTCCAATTTATGTTATTCCTTTTTTTTATTAACATAATAGCTCATTCATTCCACGTTATTTACAGTTAAGTTCCTTGCAGTTTGTACAAAAATTAGTGGAAGTTAACAATTTGTACAGGCAAAGACATTAAAATAGAAGTGGACGGAATCAGGTGAATAAGAATGAATGGAGTAAGAAACGCCACCCTTTGGTCTTGAATTTAGTTACAAACAGATAAAGAAAATGTTTACGTTTTAATAAGAAGGCCCTCAACCCCCAACAGGTTTTCTCTAGGCACGCTGCCAAATGCAACAAAGTGCAACTTGGCTGAAATAAGAACCATGCTAAATGCAACAAATTGCAACAGTGGATTCTATTGCACTGTGCAGTGAACCCAGTGCATACCAGCCTTGGCACCAAGCAGTTGCCCTGCTAAATGCAACCTAATGCAACAGTGGATTCTGTTGTATCGCCTTGGCACTATGAGCAGTTACCCTGCTAAATGCAACCTAATGCAACAGTGGATTCTGTTGTATCGCCTTGGCACTATGAGCAGTTACCCTGCTAAATGCAACAAATTGCAACAGTGGATTCTGTTGCATCGCCTTGGCACTATGAGCAGTTACCCTGCTAAATGCAACAAAATGCAACAGTGGATTCTGTTGTATCACCTTGGCACTATGAGCAGCTACCCTTCTAAATGCAACCAAATGCAACAGTGGATTCTGTTGCATCGCCTTGGCACTATGAGCAGTTACCCTGCTAAATACAACCAAATGCAACAGTGGATTCTGTTGCATTGCCTTGGCACTATGAGCAGTTACCCTGCTATGCAACAAGATGCAACAAAACACTGGACTCCAGTTGCCTGCTAAATGCAACAGTATGCAACAACTTTTTACCTTTGTTACTTTCTGTTGCATTTAGCAGGGTTAGGGGTAGCTAAATTAGTTTTGTATATTACTATTTAGGAAAAGATAGTTATTTTCTTGATTCCTGAATGTACACTTACTTGTTTGAGTGGTGCGAAGAAAAAAACATTGTCAGTTGAGACAAGCCTAGATCATGACTTGCCCCATAACTTGCCAAGTTCCATGAAAACCCCGCTTGTTGGAAGCTTGTAAAAAATTTCATTCCTAAAGTTGTATCCTTAGCATGTAGGAAAAAAGAAGCTTCAGGCTTTGCAGTTATGTACAAATCATTGCAAGTCCTCACAAGTCAATCACAGAACTTGCAGTCTGAAATCAATTGACAAACTACTCGTATTAATTGTTGAAAGTCATTCTTGTGTCAAGGGTCATCCCCTTGTTACTTGTGAGAAGTTGTGATAACCTGTGACTGACTTATGATTGACTGTGATTGACTCCTGATGAACTTGTGATTGACTTCTGACTGACTTGTGACAGACTCCTGATTAACTTGTGACAACTTAGATTGACTTGTGATTGACTCCTGATTGACTCCTGATTGATTTGTGACTGACTTGTGATAGACTCCTGATTAACTTGTGACTGACTTGTGATTGACTCCTGATTAATTTGTGACAACTTGGGTTGACTTGTGATTGACTGTGATTGACTCCCGATTGACTTGTGACTGACTTGTGATAGACTCCTTATTAACTTGCGACAACCTAAATTGACTTGTGATTGACTCCTGATTGACTTGTGTTTGACTCCTGATTAACTTGTGACTGACTTGTGATAAGACTCCTGATTAACTTGTGTTTGACTTGTGACTGACTTGTGATTGACTCCTGATTGACTTGTAACAACTTAGATTGACTTGTGACTGACTTGTGATAGACTTGTGACTGACTCGTGATTACCACGATGTGACAACTTATGATTGACTCCTGATTGACTTGTGACTTGACTCGCAACTTTGTTCAACCATCCATTATGTCCTCATCCGTTTCCTTCGTCCAGCATCTCAAACGCCTTGAGCACCTTATGCTGCCTGGTTGTATGCAACCTCTTCAAATCGGCAGCGTACTGCTGCTCTCGTAGCAACTCCTTACGCTGTTCCTCCAGCTGCGCCTTGTGCTCGTTGAGAGCCCGGGATTTCTGGATCAACTTGAGGAGCTCCTGTCGAAGTTCCCTGTTCTCTGACTTGATGCGGGTGGTGTGTTCTTGAAGACAGTGCATTGCCTCCTGGATTCAGATACAACACAAACAGATTTCTCAATCGATCAAAGTTGATCCTAGGGATTAGCTGCTGAGAGGGTAGTAAAAATCAGCAAACGCCAAGAAACCAATTTTTTCTCCTAACGAATTTTCAATTTAACTGTTTTGTTCTAATGAGAAAACTACTTTAATCCGATGTTGGGCATCAGCAACCTGCCGTACGAGAGCCGACTTATTGTCTGGCAGCCAATAATTCCAAATTTTGGTAAGCAATAATTCAGTTACTAAACGTCGAAGTATTTTTCTGTTCGATTCTCATTCAAAAGTCAATTACTTTCAGATTGTCAGGAAAATAGCAAATTGAAAGACAAATTTGTTTTTCAAGATGAAACTCAAAAACAGCATGGAGAACACATCATAAAAACGTTTACAAAAGCATGTACACTGGATGCTCATCAATATAAAATATGTATGGAGTGAACATGTTATTAGCCTTTTAAAGGGAATATACAACATTTGCAAACATCGAAAAATAAAACTACCAAGTTTTTATGAAATACCTTACTAGGATGTTGGTAAATGACAGTCTAAAGCATCCTGTAAAATTATGGCACCTGGTGTGAAGTCATTTTCAAGAAAATTGTATTTTTGTATAAATTTCCAACGGTGGTCGGCCGACTACTACTGCTCTAACTTCACCATTTTTTTCAGTCTAAATTTTGTTTGCTATTGGTTACATGTTCATGAGCAGGTGCAGGCCAGCTAGACTGGTTCCCTTAAGTAGGGGAGAAGGGCGGATACCAGACTTTGCCATAGGTCTGGGGGTAGTACAGGGCCAATGGGGAGAGGGGCAGGTACCAGACTTTACCCCTCCCCCTTTCCCCCACCCTCTGGCCACGCCCCCACCCCCTTATCCCTCCCAATAATCTCCCTCTCCCAATGATCTCCCTCCCAAATATCTCTCTCAATATCTCAGTCTCGAAATAAGGCCAGGCCCTCTATATTTATATTTTTCATTTTTGATCTTGTGTTAAATACGACTCGTACAAGTCTACTCCAACCCTGACTTGCAAAATATGAAGTGACTCAGGGTGACAATAGAGCTAGGACCCAGCTCTATGAGGTGACGCACTTTTGCAGTTGGCGTAAACATCTATTGAAATTCAATGGACCGTGATGAATTGCTTTTGTTAGTTGGGGCAGCCAGGATATGACTCATCGCATACGTCAGAAGCAAACAATGGTTGCTATTTTTAGTTCCTATATAAGCCAGATACCCTCACAGCGGATGGCCAGTCGGATTTATAAGGCGGAGTTCAGTGGTATCTAATCATATCCAGACTCGACAGCACTGTACAACTGTATAGCTTCATTTCCGAATACGAGCAGCTAAACTACCAACAGACCAACTTTCAAAGGTAATTATAATACGCTTATAACGTGTATTTTTTATACATCAGGTGTCCAATATGTCAGGGTGATTTGTGTGTAAAAGGCGAAAACCATAGGCGTCTTTACTTGTCAGCGGCCCCGAACACGTTGTAGTTGCGTCTTTTGCAATTTAGCATGCCAGATGCGAGTAAGGATGATTAGGCCCCAAGTTATTATTACTGTATGTTTGTGTGTAAAAAAATTTACTTATTAAGGCCTATTTCTCTTTTTTTTCAGATGAACTGTCCATCTAGTGTTGTAGATGTTACATACGGGCAAGATTTCGTCACATTGGCAAACAGCATGGTCAACACGGTGGGTGAATGGATCGTGGTCAAAATAGGAGATTTGACTCAGCAGTTAAAGAATGCAAAAACCATTTGATATATGACAAACCAAAAATGAGCTAATTTGAATAACAACGAAAAAGCCACTGGGAGTGGCTTTTTACTGTATATATTAAGATGTCAGAAAAGCTATTTATATGAGCTAATTTGAATAACAACGAAAAAGCCACTCGGAGTGGCTTTTTACTGTATATATTAAGATGTCAGAAAAGCTATTTAAATGAGCTTATTTGAATAACAACGAAAAAGCCACTCGGAGTGGCTTTTTACTGTATATATTAAGATGTCAGAAAAGCTATTTATATGAGCTAATTTGAATAACAACGAAAAAGCCACTCGGAGTGGCTTTTTACTGTATATATTAAGATGTCAGAAAAGCTATTTAAATGAGCTAATTTGAATGACAACGAAAAAGCCACTCGGAGTGGCTTTTTACTGTATAAATTAAGATGTAATAAAAGCTATTTAAATGAGCTAATTTGAATGACAAAGAAAAAGCCACTCGGAGTGGCTTTTTACTGTATATTTTAAGATGTAATAAAAGTTATTTAAATGAGCTAATTTGAATGACAACAAAAAAGCCACTCGGAGTGGCTTTTCACTGTATATATTAAGATGTCAGAAAAGTTATTTAAATGAGCTAATTTGAATAACAAAGAAAAAGCCACTCGGAGTGGCTTTTTACTGTATATATTAAGATGCCAGAAAAGCTATTTAAATGAGCTACTTTGAATGACAACGAAAAAGCCACTCCGAGTGGCTTTTTACTGTATATATTAAGATGCCAGAAAAGCTATTTAAATGAGCTAATTTGAATAACAACAAAAAAGCCACTCGGAGTGGCTTTTTACTGTATATATTAAGATGTAATAAAAGCTATTTAAATGAGCTAATTTGAATGACAACAAAAAAGCCACTCAGAGTGGCTTTTTACTGTATAAATTATAATATATGAATATCAAATAAAGAGAATGTATGAATGATCGTTTTATCGAGTCCAAGTTCAATTATAATGTAAAATCAATAGAGGGCGCTATTTCTGTGTGGTGATGGATATCAAAATAATATAAACAGGGTGGTATAATAAATGATCGATTTATCGAGTCCAGGTGCAATTATAATAAAAGAAATCAACAGAGGGCGCCATTCATTGGTGGTGAGGTATTATAAACAGAGGGCGGTATTTAATTTTATGATAAGGGTTATTGTACCGATAAAAAACAGAGGGCGCTATTAACGGGCACTAAGAGATCTGATTTCAATTATATAAAGAACAGAGGGTGATATTTAATTCTTTATTTAAAATTGCAATCATTTTTATTTAAAGTTTATTAAATAGATGGAATACTTTGGGACGTCACAACTTGGGGATAAGTGCGATCATCATATAATCATCGAGAATGGTTTTTTAATTTGTGAAACGTGCGGTGAAATAGTTTCACGTTATTTTGATTTTTCGGCAGAAAATGCGCAAGAAGATCGTATCAATTGGTCAATTTTAAAAAGAAACAAAAGAAAAACTGTGGAAAAACTTATTTTGTCTGTTTGTCCAGAGCAAGACTTAGAAGATGTCCAAGAAACAATCAATAAATATAACGAGCTCGTTAATTACAAAACATTGAGGGGAAACGGATGTGTCAAACGGTCGTTAATAGCCGCGAGTTTCCATCACGTCATTGGATTAGACAAAGAACGAGTTAGAAAATTATTTAAAGTGACTCAAAATCAATTTAATAAAGCACTAAAAAGATACGATGACCACTACAATAAAGGCGGGGCCGAGGGTAACACCCCAAGAGGTGAAATAGAGGTATAACTCGGTGGATCGCTTTCATAATGTTTATTTACCGAGAATTTGAACTTGTAAGTTTTTCGATAAGAGATTTTTTTTCTTTTGCCAGCCGTTCGTCTACCCGTTTTTTAACTTCTTTTTCAAAGTCTGTATCGTTTTTAATTTTTTGAAGCTTTGTGCTGGTCTTTGTTCTAATTTTTTGCTTAAGCTCGTTAAATTTTGCGAGCTCTCTCGTAATCAATATAAACTCTTCGTGTGATATATCTCCGTCGTTGATGGCTTGAGACACGTATTCTTCAATCGTGTTAAGTTTGGAGTCTGCTAATATTTTAATCTGGTCGTGCTTTTTTAGCTTGGCGGATAATCGCCTAGACGCGATTCTAAGCAGAATATCTACACCAAAAGCGCCTATAAACGTTCCTTCTAGCACCAATCCAACGGGGGTTGATATAACACCCAAGAGAGCGGGAATACCGACAGCCCCCGCTATAGCCCCCAATCCTTCTAATCCTATTTCTACGTAATTAATAGTGTCGATCACTCTCTTTATTTTTTTATAAGTGTGCTCTCGGTGGTCTCTCTCTTTTAAGATTAAAGATCGAATCTCTTCAATCTTTTTAAGTCTGTACACTTTTGTTTCTTCGTTACTATTTAATCGGAGTACATCTCCAGAAATATCGGGGTATAGCGCCTTACCATCTACACTCATGTTTTTAATATAAAAAGATTTTAAAATTAAAAGATCTCCAACTCGATAATGATACCCTCACCCTTGTTGTTGAATACCTGTCCTTTTTCACCGCTGATAGAAAATGTCAGTTTGTCGATTATACCGTTTTTAAGATTTTTGAATCCCTCGGCTCTATCAATATCGGGTTTGCGCGTAGCCACGGGTACGATTTTTAAGATGTCAGAAGGACGACCATTAAAAAAGTTTTCACTCGTACTTAATTGCGGGCAGCGAATAAACAAAAATTTAAACGGATTAACGTCGTAAGACCCCGTATACACCACTTTGGGTACCAGTCTTCCTTTGGGTAAATTGAGTAATCGAGATACTTCTCTGTTCAAGCGCAATTTGAGATTTACGTCGGTTATCACCAATGTCACCTTTTTAGATTCTCTAAATATTCGAAAACTTACCCCGGGTATAGAATTTAAAATGAAATCGAACCAATCGACGTCGTACCACCCCGGTGCTATGATGACCGAACCGGTGACTCCGAGTGGTAACGGCGCTAAATGACTCGGAGGAATAAAATCTAAATCATCACCCGTCACGATAAGACTTCCCCTTATAATTACCCCTGCTTCTCTACTATCTCTCAACTCGCTCAACTCGCTCGCACCCATTTCTCCTTCAATAAACTTTGAAGCCAATTCCTCACCTTCAAAGATTTTCCTTTCTCTAACATATAATATTCTTACTAAAGATTGAAGCGTATTAAGTTCTAATT